CGAAATAGCTCTGTTTTTGTTGGAGGGACCAAGTCATGAAAATAACCAGATTGCTGCAACAGACTCGTAACATTGCGTTTCACTCTAGATACATACAAGATCAAACGACGTTTGGTTTCACTAGGATTGCTGAAAATAACCAGCTCTACACTCATAATGTTGGATCACTTGGCTTACACGCTTAGGGTGTGTTCGACATCATGTTTGAGCCCCCAAACGTGCATCCTAATTGGCAAAAGCTGGATTTTTTGATAAGAGTAATGTTCTTTTTTTTTTTCTGGTTGCCCATCCAGTTTACTGGAGCTTTGCTTCGATTACATCTGGATCTGACCCGCGTCACGCATCTGGCTATGGTGGGTGAGTCTCCCAACGGGGATTTCTGCATACGCTGAGGCTTGAACTCGAGACCTCGCTTAAGCGGTACCAAGCCGCTTACCATTTGGACCTAACGTTTTAGCAACCTAACGTTTATATTCAAATGGGCTCTTGGAAAGAAGCTCCTGCATCTTGCTTTTCACGGTAACGATGCGGTGAATGTTGGGTCCAGCACCTTTGATCTTTAAAGGGCCGAAAACTAAAAAAGAATGAAAATATGAGGATAAAGCAAAGAATGAGCACGTGCATGTGGACAATAAGTGCCACCTTTTTTTCTTATTGGCTTTGCTAATATAGAGGGCATATAATACAAATTGCTGATTCTTTCGACCATTATACTTGATTATGTATCAACACATAGCAGTATTGTTTTCTTATGTACATTAAATATATTTAATTAAATATTTAGTATTTTTTTAATTTCTTTCTAATAATAAATTATTTTTATTTTTTTTTTAATTTTTTTTATTTTTTTTTTACAATTGTCACATTATATACATATGATATTAAATATGTATTGCTTAATAAAATGCATGTCCTTTTCAATTATTTCATATCTAAAATTACTTTTTCATTAATCATCTAAACAAGTTTTAGTTTATCAAACTGACTTTTTTACAAAAACTAATCTAAATATAAATCACATTACACTATCTGATTTTTATCCCAACTTCAGTTTGAAGAAGTTAGATGAGAAAAAAGTCACTTCTACTACCGCTAATACAAACACACCCTTAGTGGGGTCAGCTTTGCTTCTTCCAGCTCGGAAAGCAACGTTTTAAAATTGGGAGCAGACAATGGGACCAGCCCGGCTAATGACTAAACAATGCTACCTGCACTCCTAATTATGAGAGTTAGTTGACTAATTTGAGAAGATTAAGTAAAGAACTTAGGTTAGTTATTTGTAATAAATAAGTGTTGTTTTTTCTACAATATTTTTGCTAATCAAGTGTGTTGGCTAGAATTACTATTGTTAGAAAGACTATATTGGAAAATATATATAAATATAAGAGACAAAGTAGATTGGAGTCTTATATTTAAGATCAAAATAAAAGTCAAACAAGATCTTATATTAAGGATCAAAGGTAGTACAACGATTCGTTTTTAATATTTAGAGCGCTTAAATAGTTGGACCATGTTGAACCATTTAGAACCAGCTATTGAGCCGGAATGGAAGTTAAGCCGCGACTTGGATCGATTTTTGTAATATCCTATGATAATAATGATAATGATATGATATATATATATATATATATTTTTAAATAGATATTTTGATATATTTTAAGTGTAGTTATGATAATTAATATATACATATATGTACATATATGAATATAGAATTTTTGGGGTAAATCGAATATTACTAGTATTTCAAGAAGATAAATATGTATATACGTATGCTTTGTTCAATGAATGTATTCATGAGTCATAAATGAGGAATGAGATCTATCAGCACATCTGGTAAGAACCGATGCCAACGTATTTGAAGAGCACTTGAGAAACAAGTCAAAGTGGACAAGGATAAAGGTAGTGCACAGGAATGGCATAGGATGGCTCGGAAAACAAGAATGATGAAGGGTTTGTTTAGTTTCCTGTTTTAAAAACAATTTTTTGTTTTTAAAAACAAAAAAATAAAACAATTTCTGTGGTAAGTTGTTTTTAGTTGATTGTTTTAAAAAACAAAAAACAATAACATGTTTTTAAAAATAAAAAAATCAAAACAACTTTTACATGTTTTTGTGTTTTTATTTTTATATTTTTTATTTTAAAAAGTTTTGAGAAATCTTCTTATCTTCTTATCTACTATTCACTACTATTCACTGCTTATTGTTACCAACAACAATTATCAAGTATGGTTTTTTACGGGGTTTTTTTTTCAAATATGATTTTTTAAAATTATTATCTAAACAAATTCTTTTTTGTTTTGTTTTTAAAACTTGTTCTAAAAAATTATTTTATAAAATTATTTTGAGAACAGGAAAGAAAAAAACAAAAACAAACAAGCCCGAAGTCACGTAAATAAAAAAGACGACAAGAACATATAAAGGAAATTTTCTTTATTTACCAAAAGGGATAAAGGAAGAAAAAAGCAAAGAAAGGAGTTGACTTATTGCAATGTAAGCGTCTCACTCTTCCCAAGTAACACCCTTGCATTAAAATATGATTTTTGACGTATAAAAATCTTCTTTACATATTTTTTTATTGTTTCCAATGACTTTTTTTTATATGATTAAACATTTTATCTGATTAAATCATGTGAGTAATATTACCAGATTTGCTGTTGTATGGTGATTTATGTATACACCCAAACATAATTTGTGTGACTTGAACTATTGTGGATTCACTCTAGGGACGTCGTAGCTAGTCCCAGTGACCCGGTCTACGTGACAAACAATGAGTGCTCAGAAGATTTGTATGTCATTGTCTGTGCAGAGTTTCTCATATAATTTTCACTGCAAGGATTATAAGAAAATTATTTTCCACTTCACAGCGGCTAGGCGTCGTTAGTTATAAATTTATAAATAATACTACCTCCGGTCCTTATTATAAGACCTCATTTGACTTTTTGTTTGGTTTTAATTATAAGACCCCAATCCATTTTGTCTCATATATTTATGTATTTTTTTCCAAGATAATCCTTCTAATAATGATAGTTCTGGCTAATATACTTAATTAGTAAGGATATTTTAGGAATGACAACACTTATTTATTACAAATAACTAACTTAACTTATTTCCTTAATCTCCTCAAATAAGTCAACTGGGTCTTATAATTAGGACCGGAGGTAATAATTAGTATTGAGTGGGATAGGATACGGGAAGTGCATGTAAGCCGTCATATTAACGAGTTCACGAACACACTGATCGACATGCCACCATCACCACCGCAGGACCCGATCCCACCACCACCATTTCGTAATTACTTTGTCTTTAGAGTCTGTTTGGCTCAACGAGAAGAAGGGAAGGGAAGGGATTTTAATAAAGGGAAAATGAGGGAAGGAGAGTAGAAAGATTTTAATATTACCTTGTTTGAATTTATAAAAATATAGGGAAAGGGAGGAATTTTAATATTACCTTGTTTGGTTCATGAGGAAGGGGGGGAAATTTTTTTTGACATGGACAATTTTACCCTATTTTATTTAAGATATAGGCATAATGGTCATCACATGACAAAATATAGGCATAATAGTCACAACATGGCAAAATATTGTCATTTCCTTCCAAATCTCCTAATTTTGGAGAGGAGGTTGAGGAGGGGAGGGGAGGGAAAATTTTAAAAATTTTTCCCTCCCAAAATTTTCCCCTCCCCTCCTAATATTTGTGTGTTGCCAAATAAAAAGAAATGATTAAAATCATTCCCCTCCCTCCCCTCCTCTCCCCTCTCCTCTCCTCCAAATCCCTCATATCAAACACATTCTAAGAGTCTGTTTGGCTCAATGAGAGGAAAGGGAGGGAAGGGATTTTAATGGAGGAAAAAGGAGGTGAGGAGAGTGGAAGGATTTTAATATTACCTTGTCTAGATTTATAAAAAGAGAAGGGAGGAATTTTAATATTATCTTGTTTGATTCATGAGGAGAGGATAGGAAAAAATATTTTGATATGAATAACTTCGCCCTTATTTTATTTAAGATATAAGCATAATGGTCATTACATGACAAAATATCAGTATAATGGTCATAACATGGCAAAATATTACTCTTTCTTTCCAAATCTTTCTAATTTTAGAGGGGAGGGGAAATTTTTAAAATGTTCTCTTCCCTCCTAAAATTTGTGTCTTGCAAAACAAGAGGAAATGACTAAAATCATTTCTCCTCCCTCCCCTCCCTTCCAAATCCCTCATACCAAACACACTTTAAAGATCTTAATAATTCTCAACCTCTGAATGATTTTGCTATCCCCGAGTTAGCATGTAAGCGGAGAAAGCTCATACATATAAAGGAAATAAAATAAAATATACATTAGAAATTAAAACATCGTCAATTTTATTATAAGGCCACAGCCTGCTACAAAAATCCATTGTTCACATAAAACACATACTTCTAGATACTAAATATCATAGTGACATATGCTCTTATTATTCATATATATCATTACTTGTCTTCAAGGTAGATCTGCATTTAGTATCTTGAAGTATTTCAAAACACATTTAGTATTTTAAAATATCTTGTAGTGTATCTAGTATTGTAAAATATTTTTTTCAGGTACATCTAGCACTATAATAATTTGGTGCATCTGGCACCATAAAATTTTTTTTTTCATATGTGTTTCACACACTAAATTATTTTTTAATGCATTCAATTACCCTAAATTATTTTTTTCATTTTGTTCAAAATCCCCTCTAATATGTAGGATTATAAAAAAATTTATAAATTTGAGAAATAAAATAAAGGATTAATACAATATTTATTCTATAAAATACTTTGTTCTGGCAAAATGTCGGCAAAAATGAACCACTAACTGTGATGTCATTTCAGTTCTGCTATTCATGTAGTGCCAAAAACTCGTTGGTGGCGTTTGTGAATGGAAAATGATTATCTAACAGACCAAAATATATAGTGGATAATGTTTAATTTTTATTTAAAAATTAATTATCTTAAATAATATGTAATATAATTATTCCATAGTTATTCAATTTTGAAGAAGTTGGTGGAGGGAAGATTGCAGCTGACTGTAGACGGAATGCCAACCATTTTGAGAGGGATGAGCTTGGTCCCAAAAGAATGATGCTTCTGGTTTCTCACATACTTTATATTTATGTTTCCCTTCTTTCTCCACTTCAACCCTTACACATGGCTCTAATGGATTCATTAGCCTCGGATTTTCTGCATAATTAAATTTAAAACACCAAAAATAAAAATAAAAAACATGCATTCAATGTTATTATTCTATAATTTCGTAGTATCAATCTAGATTTAAGTATTATCAAGTTTTTAAGCAAGAGGAAAGTAATCTTCCTGCATAAATTTTTTTCCAATTTACAATATCCGAACTCATGTGAAAATATGAGAAAAATATAGTTAAATCATTTAAAAATAGTTAATGGTACTACCTCCACTCCTAAATATAACAACTAAATAAGGAGTTCACTTTAATCTTAAATATAAAATTGCAATTCTCTTTGCCTGCCAAATGTATAATTTTTTGCCCAAAGTATCAATATTATTTGCACATATTAAGGAGCTTCCAATTAAAGGGTAACTCTAATGCACATAATTAACTAAATATGATAACTTAGAGGTATTAAGATATATTTGTTACAAACAACTAACTTAACTAATTTTTTTTAATATTTGTAAATTAATTATCTAGCTCTTACCACTCTAATCCTATTTACAAGACAAAGAAAATGGTTTTTCTTAGTTTTATTTATAAACCACATCATTAAATTTTTAACATGGACGTACTATTTTGTCTTTCATTTATTATAGTTTTGAGTGTACTAAAGACTAGAGGCAGTAGTTCCAAGTGTCCCAAAGTTAAGTAGTGCAGCATAATAGAAAAGTCAAGTGTTCCTTCACTTACTAGCACGCTTTCTGGCCATTGAAGAGATAACGGAGTTGAAAGTATTGTAGAGATCGAGTGTTAAAAACACTGATGATTGTTTTAGGTTTGCGAGGCAATGAAGAAGCTGCTGGTTGTGATTTCTGGCAACAACATTTGGAAGTTCAGCACACTTTGTGTAGGAAGTGTTCACAGATTGCTGAGGCGCACACCCCATTGGCATCATTAACGTTATAGCTATTTTCCTCACTCCCATGCCTTCAATACCTTTTAGGTCCAAACAAAGCTGGTTCACTAGACCAGACGAAAATGCTCCTACATCCTATATATAATAGCAGTCATACAGGAAAAACTGAATAAATAAGTAAATAAATAAATTATGAGTGATCCATATTGGACAAAACTAAATTAAAATAAGTTGCTGTGAATTTATAGGTACGTATATGTATTATGATAACTAATATAATAATAACAAAATAATAAGCGTATGTGTGAAAATTTACAAGTGTGATTGGAGAACTTAACCTAATGAATTTAGTAACTCGACCTAAGTTTTACGTATTGATATTTTGTATGACAGTCTTAATAGGAATCAAACAAATTTCACCTCACATTCTAATTGGTTAAATGTCATTTTTTTTTCTTCAGAAGTATTTGCAAAAGAGCTGTGGGTATCCAAAAAAAATTTTGGTTCAATGCCACAGAAGTGTTAAAAAAGGAGAATGTCGCATTTTTTTTGTTTTAAAAAATAGCATTAACCATTAGAACCAACATTGACTATTAGCACTTTTAATGAAAAAGATAAAATTGATTCTTTTTTATTACTTTTAGGAATGATATTTAGCCGGAAAAAAAAAACTTCCAGATACCCACAACTTCTGCTTTTTGAGCAAAGATTACCTTTAACCCTACTTCTTATTATAAAGGCATTCTTCATCATTCTCATTTTGATTTTCTATAAGTTATCCAAATATTTTCCCTAATACGTTTTCCCTTGATAATGGCTATAATTAAATAACGTTCTAGCTAACAAACTCATTATCCTTTATTTAGTAAACTTTATTGAGGATATTTTGAAAAGTTTAAAAGCATTGATCAATTCTAACTGAACTAATTAAGTCATATAAAAATGCTAATAAGTCCTCAAAATAAGGAGGAAAAGAAGTATCAAACAATAAAGGAAAATTTAAAAAAACAATAATCTCATTAAAAGGTTACTCTAAATGTGATTTAAATACCAAACAGTTATATATCAAAAAAGAAAACAAAGTATAAAACACAAAAACTGACATATTAACTAAGATGCAGGAACTCATCACCTTGAGGGTCCCCATTTAATTTTTTCCCAAAAAAAAAATGTCATGTATACAATTTGATTAAATAAATGAAGAACTGACCTTGAGGTTGCCATTTGTTTGAAGAAATGTGGCATAGTCGTTACCACCAACGTTGACCAGAGCAACTGAGGATCTAAGGTCGTGTTTGGTGTAGACATTTAGTTGAACTAGCTTTTGGAAAGAATTGATTTGGGTGGTAAGGTTTGGTCCATTAGTTAATATTGAGTTAAAAATTCCAGTCCCTCCTTGCGCATAGTTCATCCCATGTTGTAGTTTTGATTTCTCTACGTAATTTCTATATCTGTATGCTACTGGCGTTCTTATTCCCAAAAATGAAGCTGCTTGTCAAGAAATATATTATTAATTAGATGCAATAAATTTAAAAATGACATACTACTCTCAACTCTTAATATAAAACCCCATTGACTAATTTGAAAAAATTAATTTGGATTAATATTAAATATAAAAGGGGTTAGTCAACGTGTACTTGCCACGCAGCAATGTCGCTCGTGATAAAGTCTCGGGTTTGAACCTGATATTAACATGTTTGTATGCGCGCATATGCCTAATTGTATCATATATGAAAAAAAAAAGCGATTAATACAATTTTGGTCCTAACAATTTGATCTATTTTTGGTTTCAGCTCCTCTAATAATACGGTTATTAGTTTCATCAGGACTTGATTTGAGTCATTAATGTAAACTAGTTAAAATTAAAGTACATGAACTACAATTAAAACTCGCCTGTTTTTTTTTTTTGGTTAATGTACTTTTAATGAATTTTGATTTTGATAAAAATTAACACTGATAAACTTAGACCAAGTCCTTTTAAAATTATAGAGATATCACATCACAAACTATTATTTGAAACTATAGAAACTAAAATGCGAGGACCAATATTAATTTTTGCCCAATATAAAATCATAAAGTTTATGGCAAGTTAGCCCCCCTTTAAAGTTGAAGCGGCTAGTTACATTTTTATACGTTATATATCAATATTAATTAACATTGATGATAATCTCTCCAATTTAATAAATTTGACTAAATATGTGTTTTAAAGAAGAAGAAGAAGGGAATCAACGGGTACAAGACCCATTTCTCTGTTGAAACGCAATGTAAAAGGAGTAAGATCTGACATTAAAATCCGTTTTGGATAAAGAAGGAGAAGCAAAACATATGATAATCACATTTAAAAAGTTTTGGAATTGATAATGAAAAACCAAGTAGGTGACGAGGAATATCAAACCAGAACAATATACAAGAGAGATGAAAAGGATTAATAATTATTATACCTATATAATCAGTAAGAACGCGACCATCACTAAATCTGCCAGCAGGTTTCCCAGGAAAAGTGATTCCGTTAGGTGGCTTATAGGATCCAGAACGCAGGAAATTGCCTGTGTCTACGTATGAATCTCCAAAAACAAACAGTTTTGTCCCATGAAACCCACCCCTTGAGCTTCTTCTGGCTTCTGCAATAATATTATTGAGAATGACGAGGATGAAGAGAAAGAGAGTGAATAGGGATTGAGTTTTGGGATCGTCATGGATGGATCTTGATTCATTTGTTGAAGGAAAGAAAATATGTACCCCCATATATATATATATGGTTTTAAAGGCGCATTATGTTGTGAATCTGTAACATTTAATTTGGAGTTTCATATGCCAGCAATTAATTGATACATTCTGGAATTCAATTTTGAGATTATTCTCTACATTATCCAGATTTGTTAAGGCTAAAATATGCATGTTCCTCAAGTTTTCAATTTAGCGCGCCTTGGCTTCTGTTTTTTTTTTTTTGTTTCTCTTCAGAACAAGTTTATAAAATTGTTTTTCAAAAAATCTGTTTAGATAATTGTTCTAAAAAATTAAATCTGAAGGTGAAACTTTGATGAGAATTCGAGAAAAACGGGTTTCCCAATTTTTTTAAAATAAAAGATGCAAAAACAAAAAACAAGAAAACAACTAAAAATTGTTTTGGTTTTTTAAGTTTTTAAAGACATATTTTTATTTCTTTGTTTTTCAAAACGCTTAGGCTTTGTTTGGTTCAACAGAAGGGGAGAGGGGAGGTTAATTAAAAGAAGAGAAGGGGAGGGGAGATTAATTAAAGGAAGAGAAGGGGAGGGGAAGGGAAGTCATGGTTTTGTTTGGTTGGAAGGGAGGGGAAGAGAGAGGATATTTCTTGTTTGGTTCATAAGAATAGGGGAGGGAAGGTAATTATAAATTGACAAATATGCCATTATCTTTATATTTAGACTGATTTATTTTTTTATTACAATATTTATATCAAAATTATTATTTCTTAATTTATCAATTTCTAAAAAAAACCAATTACCTCACTTACATGTGATAAAAATAATAATAAAACTAAAAAAAATTAGAAAATATGATAAAAATTTAATATTATGTCTCATTAATTTTATAAATATATGTATTAATATATATGATATGTATATATTATATAATTATAACACGCACGTTATGATATGTATATATTAATATATATGCATGTTATATGATATTATAATACACACACGCTATGATATATAATTATAATACACACATGTTATGATATGTATATATTAATATATATGATATGTATATATTATAATATTATGATTATCAAATATTATTAGTGGCTAAAAAGAGAAAAAAGTGAAAATTTTTTTTTAATAAGATAGACAAATTTGGAATATTGAAAAGTTAGTATGTGTAGTTTGGTCAATGTTAGACATAATATTTTTCTCCATTCTAAAAAACCCCAAATTTAGAGGAGAGCATGGGGAGGGGAGGGGAGGGGAGCATTAAAAGACAAATTTCTTCCCTCCCCTCCCCTCTATTTTTCTCAACCAAACACACTTATCTCCTCCCCTCCTTTACCCTCTCCTCCCCTCTCCTCAAAAACCCTCCAACCAAATAGAGCCTTAGCTAAAAACAAACTACTAAACAATTTTTTTGTATTTTGTTGTTTTCAAAAAAATTATTTTGGAAACAAGATATTAAAATTTAAGAATTTATGAAAAAATAATTATATTAAAAAATTAATTTAAACACATGTCTTGTCAGTATTTAATTACATAGTCACCATTTAAATTTGTCAAGTCACTAGTTTCCGTTATGGGACTAATGATATTAAGGGGGTGTTTGGGTGATAACCCAAACTATGGTTTGGAAAAAAATCACCCAAACACCTTTAAAAAAAACCAAAACTATGGTTTTGGCTCCAAAACCATGGTTTTGGAAAAATCAAAAAATTTTTGCTTTTGGAAAAAAAAAAAAAGGGAGAGTGTGAGAGCTTATAGGATATGTATCTTGTTGTTTTTTTTATAAACATATTTTTTTATAAATATTTTTAATCTTATATCTTATAAATATATATACATATTAATTATATTATCTTATGTATTATTAATTATGTTAATAAAAAATATATTATTAACAATTTTATTCCTTCAAATTACAATATATCATAAAATATATTTTTTCTGTAATTATCATATTAACTTATGCCTTTTTTAGTAATTTGTACATGTAAAAAGTGCTTCTGGTAACAACTATCCAAACACTCTCACTTCTCAGAATCACTTTTTCACAAAATCTATTCTTCAAAAAATCTATTCTCCCTAGAATCTATTCTCCAGAAGTTATTCTCCAAACTATAGTTTGGTTATATCCAAACACCCCCTAAAGGACTAAAGAGACACTTTTTCAACTTAAATATAAAAATAATTTTATTAAAAAATTAAAATTCAGAACGTGCTTTTTTTTTTCATTGAATGTTATTAATGATATTAAAATTAAAAGGCTAAAAATACACTTTTTAAGACTTGAGAGATTAAATTAAAACTTGAGGCAAATTTAAGAGATCAAACATATTTTAGCAGATTTTTTAAAGAGTTAAGGTGTAAATTTGCCCCAAAGTTTTTACTTAAGAGTGTTGACAACCAAAAGTTTTTTTTTTGGGCAAATTTTCTCATAAAGTTTAAACTCATAATAATATCGCCTTATATTGTTAAAAAATAATGTTTTCTATTAAAATAGTAACATCGATCGTTAACATTTTTATCAGGAGGAGATAATATTGTTATGATTTTAAACTTTTAAGATAACTTTGTATCAAAAAAAAATTCTAAGTGCCTAATGCTCAGACTAAAAATTTCAAGGGTAAATTTGCACTGTAACCCTTTTTCTAAATATGTTCAGCCCATTAAAATACTTTTATTATTTTCCATTAGGCCTATCATAAAATGTTTTATTTCCCATATAACCATTATAATCAAGGTACTAAAAATCAAAAGTCATTGAACCGGTCAAGACAGTGGATTAGATCAAAGTCAATCTAAGAGTCAAACAGGTGAGATAAAATAATTTAAAAACAATTTAAATTTTTATCATATCATTCAAGAGCTAAATATTAATTCAGTACCTCAGATCATTAATAAAATTATCAATACTTACAATTTTGTTCCAACCTTTTTCACTATTCCCATACTATGAAAATCACTAAATACTCATTTTAACAAAATATCAAAATAGATATATGATAACAAAATATTGTTTACTACAATCATTCAATCAGTAAGGAGAAATTATCAATAACTCAAAAAAAAAAAGAAGAAAATTTTTCATCAAAATAGTTTTTTCTAATAAAAAAAAGCATTCTGGTTAACCCACCAAACCGGTCAGGTTAGCCCTTGGGTTAATCAGGTCACACTAGGGTCAATTTAACCCTGGTTCCTATACTCAATCAGATTGGTTACTTGGCGGCCGATTTGGCCCGAGCTCTAATTTCATGGTTATAATGACATCCATGCATAGCCGTCTCACTATTCACCATTAATTAATATTTTGGCAACAAAAATTATAATTCACTATTAATAATCCATTAATAAGAGTTCGTCTCAAATCCTCCTCTTCATAATGGTATCCATGCATAGTTGTCTCATTGTTACTAGACGCGAAGTTGATTGCATGGGTTGGTTTATGCATATTAGATGTGTGATGAGTTGTTCTCTTGTGCTTAGTCCAAAAGCAAGAATCCAGAGGATGTCAAGCATTCTTAAACGTTTTCAGTGAACTAAACATATCTAGTAAATTGATTACATTAATGGAATTATGATCGATAAGCTTTCTTGAAGGATGACTTCATTATCCTTTCTGGTCGTTTTTAGGTAAAAAGGCACTTAGATAACATTCTGAAAAGGTGTTTAAACTAGCTTTTTGGAAAACATTTTACAAAGAATGAGGTAAGTATGTTAAAAGCATTTTTTAAGTGCTTCTTTTTTAGCCTGCCAAACTCCCTCGGACCTTATTTCACCTTTCATATCATAATCCAAAAAAATCTTATAAACAATAGTGTAGTTATTATTTAGTTTAGCATCACTTAGGATTTGTTTTGAATAGTTTATAAATAGCTTTTTAATTGTGATTTACGTAATACGAAGTAAGAATATTAGGAGAGTTTTGTCTTGATTTACATGAAAGTGCTTATAAGCATTTTAAAATAAGCAGATGTGCTTAGTGATTCTTAAACAACAATTGGGTAATTTATTTATTTTTGTCCAAATTCATTTGTAGTTAAGGCTTCGTTTGCTATCATGTTTAAAATAACTTATAAACATATTTCACAGAAATTGAGATAAAATTTTTCTCATATATTTATCTCATATTTCATAAATCATGGTTAAATAGTTATTTAAAAGTTATTCCAAACGGAGTTTAAGTGGAATCAGCCTAGGCCCCATTCTATATCATGCAGGTGTAGTTTAGAAATTAATTTGAAAGCTTAGCGATAGAGCTGAGAAAGCATTTTAGAAATTGAACCACAAATTTATTTCAGATGACAGCTTTGGATTTGCAATGATGTTTCATAATTCTAAGGGCGTTTTTTTACCCCATGATATACTACTGCTTGTGGAGCCCTGAATGAAATTCTCCTTGGGTTTTAATCATACGCCATCTTGTGTTGATTAAAAGTTTCTTATAAAATTTTTCACCCAAAAAAAAGGTTTCTCATAAAATTGCACCCAAAAAAATCCTTATAAAAACAGTCATTTATTTCTCAATTTGAGATGTTTATAAAGGTATGTCTTTTTTTTTTCAGAAATTTATAAAGGTACTTATCATAACAATTAAAAATTAAAAAAAAAAAACATTTTCACCGTAAACAACAAATTGCTCTAGGACAGTGTTACCTGCCTCGTTTTGACGAGGAAGCAGGCTTAAACCTACTTTTACTGTCGCGATCCTGAATATAAAGGACAAAGGAGAAGGAACCGCCCCTAACTAAAAGGTGTGTAAAGGACAAAGGAGAAGGAACCACTCCTTCTTTTGGTACACTAAGGGTTGTTTGGCTAATGAGAGGAAAAGGGGGAAAAGGATTTTAATAGAGGAAAAAAGAAAGGAGGAGATTCGAAGGATTTTAATATTATTTTGTTTGGATTTATAAAAAAAGAGGAGAGGAGAGGAGTTTTGATATTATCTTGTTTGGTTTATGAGGGTAGGAGAGGAAAAAATATTTTGATATGGTGTCCTTATTTTATTTAAAATATGGGTATAATGGTTACAATATTACAAAATATGAGCATAATAGTCACAGCATGGCAAAATATTGTCATTTTTCTTCAAATTCTCCTAATTTTGAAGGGGAGGTTGAGGAGGGAGGGGAGGAAATTTTTTTAAAATCTTCTCTCTCCTCCTAAAATTTATGTGTTGTCAAAAAAAAAAAATAAAATCTTTTCTTTTTCCACCCTTTCCCTTCAAATCCCTCGTACCAAACGTATCTTAAGAGTTGAACACCTAGATGTCACTGCTCAGCCTTTAAAACGGCACCGTTGCGCAGCATTTCTATTTTCCTTGGTTAATTTTTTTTGGTACAACTTTTTTTTAAAAATATTTTCTACATAGGAGTTGCGCCATGTTTCCAGCTCTACATTTTAGAATCTCCCCCTCCCTTCAGGTGCCTCCCCTTCCGGCCTTCCCATCGCTCCACGCTCCTTTTCTTTTGTTAAGTTGTCTGATGACTTAATTTTTAAGAAAATTACAATAAGTGCTACTCAAGAAAATTAAATACAAAACATTTCTTGAAATGATCCAATTAATTTGAAATTTTAAGAGTCTTCGTTGTGATTTTATTTATTTAATTATTAAGTTATCCTTATTTTTTTAAATATGAATTGATAGTTATTAACAACTTAAAATATAATTATTAACGACTATCATGGCAGGTATTAACAACATACTATCTTCAGTCTTTAATATAAAAATTAATTAACTAATTTGAGTAAATTAAAAAAACTTAATTATGTTAATTATTTATAATAAATAGATTTTATTTTTTCTAAAATATCTTTACTAATTATAAAACTATCTTAAACAAATAAATATAAAAAATAAAATAAATTAAATATTATATTAAGATCAAAATAAAAGTTAAATCTAGTACTACTTAGGTCCTAAATATAATATTTATTTTGTAGTATAATTTGTATTATAAAATAAGTTTTATATTTATGATAAAAGGAGAAGTATTTTCTAAAATGTTGAGTTGTAAACATGGCTCAACTCCTATTAAGAGAATTTTTTTTAAAAAAAAGGGAAATTCCACGCAACAGTGCCGTTTTGAAGGCTGAGCACGATCAGTCACTACCTAATGCGGACTCGTATAAGGTTGGAAAAGGAAGGCACCTCGATTTTGCCGCTGGCGCGCTTCACTGGTTTCTGAGAGCCAACGGCTTGATACTGATCACTCAGGCTTTTGTTCTCATCACCGGAGAGTGCTTCAGGTGAGGGGAGAAACTCATCCGCCTCGCTATCCCAAAATTGAATTTTTCAATGCGGTTTTAGAAGCTATAAGATTCAATCTTTTGTTTCAGTAAAATCAACCAAGCTATGCATTCGACTTTGCCTCACTTATTGATTATTATTTAGTTGTTTGTGAATCTCTGAATTTGGCGAAAGTGACTGTGAGAGAAGGTGCCTTCAATTTACCAACTTTCCCGCATTTTTTTCTTAAGTGAGTAAAACACTGAAATCAGTGAGCTTTGGGGAGGTTCTGTTAAAATGGGTCATCTATAGATTCAAATTTGAACCAAATTGTACCGTGCAGGGACTTGGGAACAGAGACCCTGGTAACATTAGCGTAATTTAATTGACTATGGCTGTAAATGAACATACCGAACGAGAATATGTGCCTCAGAAAGAGAAGCAATCTTCAGAGGAAGAGAAGAGGTAGTTTTCTCTTATTCATTTATGTGGTTAGTTTTACTTGCTGTGGTTGGAATTGCTGGAGAAATGTTCTAATTTTTTTTCGTTTGGGTAAATAAAGGAAGAAGAAAATTGTACCTGGGAGTTTGATGAAAGCTGTAGTGAGGCCTGGAGGGGGGTGACTTGACGCCTTCAGATGGTGATCAGGTTATTTCTGTATTTCTTAGGCCGCTGCCGTGGACTTCTACAATAGATATAATGTAATTGTGTCAATGTACATCATGAAATTAGGATAGCAGAGATTAACATGTTATATGTCTCAGATCGTATATCATTGCACAATTCGAACTTTAGATGGAGTA